TTTACCATTTGCAACAAGTTGATATACTTTCTAAATGCCTTCGTCTCTCACAAAAAGCTAACGAAGGGGATTTTTTAACTTTACTGGCTTTTTACACAAAAATCATTGTTAGCTAAGCTAATGCTAGTATGAGTAGCTTGCGAAAACTTTCTTTTTTTTTTGCTTTTTCTTTGAATTTTCATAACAAAAGCTTAGCGAAAACAAAATTATGCTGATTGCTGCGTGGATTTTATGTTTTACTTATGGAAAATTTTAAAATTCATAACTAATCCGTGCAATTTCTGAAACATTTTAAGGGCATGGAAATAGCCCGCTATGTTTCAGTAAGTTTGATTTGACCTTTGTTTGTTTGCCGTTCAATGTGCTCCCTATTGTATGCATATATGTGCGTTCATAACTGTCGTAGTTTAGCTTGATCATCGTATGATTCAGTAGTTGTTTTTCTTTTTTCATTTTTCTAATTAAGATATCTTCGCCGGGGAAAGGAATTTATATAACCGCCGCATTTTTGACACACGCATCTTCGGTCTTTATTTTAAGCCCAATTTCTCAAGACTTTTAAGATTTTATTTGACTTTTAGCATTTGATTAATCTTGTATATCAAATAGGGTTGGGTTTTTGCTCGCCGGTACCAGTCCAGTCCTTCTGCGATTCGTTCACTCGTTTCAGTGATAAATTGGTAATGTGCATGTCACGGGATAAAATTTTCTAAGCAACGCCAGAAAGAGGAATATATCGGAAGATGATTGCTCTTGATAGTTGCTGCCTTCTCGGTTTATTCCCAAGTTGCTGTTCTCATAGAAAGGGAATATGGGACAGGGTTTGGTACTGAATGAATTATAGACAAGAAAACGGCGGGTGAGAAGTCCTCGGTGAAGTTGTAGTTGAGAGGCGATGGGTAGTGATTTGGAGATTTCAGCCCAGTACAGATTTGCGAGATATTGCTGGATCCGGCGTGTAGGTGGATTTACTAATCTTGAAGCTGGATATCAGTAGTCCAGGCATTTTTTGTGCGTTTTTGCAACTATGCAATGCAGAAAACGCATATTGACGAGAGGTTGTCTGTCTGTGTGCGCGTTGTCACTGTTTTTCATCTCAAAACCTACAAAAGCTACAGGGCTGAAATTTTGGGAACTTGATCTAATCGAAGGCTTACCGTAGCTGAGCTTAGCATGTAGGAGCATCCCCCAGTAAAGTCACTTTTGCAGACTGTTTATTGAGGAAATCTTGATAATCTCAGTAATAACTAATAATGAAAAGCGCATGGCGCAAAGGCGATTGTTGCAAATTCAGTAAAATATAACTTTTCTTTTTTGCAACCGTAAGCGCTTGTTGCTGTGATTGTGCAGTAAATAGTAGAGGTAGCATTAGCTGCAATAGCATTTGGCGTAATTCTGTCCCTCATTGTCCCCAGAAGGAAAAATTATCCTGGTTTGACCTCTGACACAGTAGCTGCGCTGCCTGAAAGATTGAAATGATTTTAGGAATGCGGCCGACCGTTCAATGCGGGCTCGTTCTACGAGCATGCCAATATGCCTCTTTGCGAGACCCACTATCACGAGAAACGTGGTAGTCTCTGTGCAACATGTCAGAAACCGATTAGCGGGCGGTGCGTCTCGGCGATGGGACAGAAATTTCATCCGGAACACTTTTGCTGCTCCTATTGCCGCAAGCAGCTCAACAAGGGCACTTTTAAGGAAGTGGACCGGAAACCGTTCTGTCACAAATGTTATCAAACAACTCACGCTTGAGAATTTGTTTTTTGTTAATACATTTTGAGATTGCTGCGATAGAAGTACCAGAACAAGTGATTTATCTTTTTTTTTCTAAAAATTCGAATTCTACTGGAAAATTGCCAGGATGTCCTGAACAGTCGTCTTGGGGAATCCAGTACTAGTTGTGTTGCCGAAATTTACTCAGCTGCACTATCGTGCCTCCAGTCTCACTGTGTTCAGTGGTCAGCTGTTCGGCGGTGGTCCGAGTGATAATTTTCCTAACACGTTACATCCACAGGCTGCCTGCTGAGCGAAAGCAAATTTCGCCTGAGTAGTGGTACTTCTGTTAAAGCATCTCATCTTTATTTCATTCGCTTGTTTTATGTTTTTCATGCTTTTCGGTGTTGTTGAATTCATAGAAGCTGTCCGCTCAATGGAGCTTTTTCTTTTTGTTTAAAACTGTGTTGCTTATGAGTTCATCGCTTATGACCGCTGTTCATGCAGAATAGTTTCTGTTTAATCAAAATCAGAATTTCCTACCCACAAAGAAAGAAATCTGTCGAAGTCCTTGTACATTTTACACTTCACATTGAAAGTAAGTTAAAATTCTAGTATCGTTTTTTGGATGGAGTAGTAAAACCCTGAATTTGAATACTTACCCGAGGAGT